CAAATAGATTAACACAAAAGAAAGGAAGCCCTGCCGTAAAATCTGTCACATTTTATTGGCTTGTTATTGTCTTGGTCTTTCTGAACACATTAACTATCTCATCGGAGCATTATAATCAACCTGACTGGCTGACCCAGATCCAAGGTACAATCAAAAGTTATTTGTCCTGTTTTTGACTATGGATACTTGCATTCTATCAGTGGCTACTTTTGTACTTTGCTATTTTGTTGTTTGCTGTCCTGAAGGATATTCAACCCAGCCAAAGGGAGATACAAGAAATGACTGAATGTATTTGATTTCCACAACTGTAACAGCTCAATGGCATACCAGCAAAAAACTGATAATGCTGAATTGTAAATACCTGTAGTTTTATTGTTAAACCATACTTGAAAGATGAGGAAGGAAATGGTAACTGGCACAGCAGAACATGCTGTGGGCTGTGTTGCTTAAGTTACAGTGTGGACTCAAGCTGTGAGTTGAGCAGCCATGAACTGCACAATGGATTGGAAAGATGAATAGTTTATAAGTGGCAGGAAGCTTTACATCCTTGTGTAACTTTTGCCATTTAGGCATGAAATGCAGTCCAACATAAAAACCCAGTACTTCCTTCTTAAGCAAAAGGCTGCGAACTAGTATATAAAGTATAGCACCAATATGTTAAAATAAAAGTGGAATCTATGAGACGATTCAGGAATATCTTCTTTTTTTTTTTTTTTTCTTGTTATATTTTGTTCCAGATATCGCAAATAAAGTTCTTCTGGCTTTATTCACCTGTGAAATGTTAGTAAAGATGTACAGCCTGGGCCTACAGGCTTATTTTGTTTCTCTTTTTAACCGCTTTGATTGCTTCGTTGTTTGTGGTGGCATTGTTGAAACCATTTTGGTGGAGTTGGAAATTATGTCACCTCTTGGAATTTCAGTGTTTCGCTGTGTTCGTCTCCTGCGTATTTTTAAAGTAACAAGGTAAGATTAATTAATACTGCTAACTTTAGGGATAGCTGAAGGGTGATCAGCAATTCTTTTGTAATACTTCATCATGCGCTGCTCTTTTACTGTTTTGTTTGGAGTTTTTTTGGTGTGTGTTAACACACGCATTTTAATTTATAGGCACTGGGCATCCCTGAGCAACTTGGTAGCATCCTTGTTAAACTCAATGAAGTCCATTGCTTCACTGTTGCTTCTGCTTTTCCTCTTCATCATAATCTTCTCGTTGCTTGGAATGCAGCTGTTTGGAGGCAAATTTAATTTTGATGAAACTCAAACAAAACGGAGCACCTTCGATAATTTTCCACAAGCTCTTTTAACTGTATTCCAGGTAACTTTCTTTCATCCCGTATGAAACATTTTACCTTTGATGGTCAACAAAACTGTTTAAGTGATCATGTTGCCTGAAAATAAAATCATGAATACTATTTATTCAGTTTACTTTAAGTAGCATTCTGCTCATTGAATTCAGTACTCTGGTAACTCTGCACCATTTGTACCATTTGTTTCATGTCTTATTTGATCTATCTATGCAACATAGCTGTCATATTACTTCACAAAATTAAGTCTACTTTGTCCATCAAATACATGACTAGAAAAAGAGGCGGAATGTTATTTTTATTTTAATCAAATTATTTTCTTTAACTTTATTAGCCATATAAAAGTTCAGCTGTTCCCAAGCAGGAAAAAATGAGAAGCATTATAAGAGTGCGTATGAGTCATATGACTTACTATAATGTAAAAATAAGTATGAATTTCTTTAAAGAGACACTGTCAGGTTTGTTAAAATTTTAATAAGCAGTTTGTCTGTTACTTGTGAAAAGATAGGGCCATATTTACAGTTTACTTTTCGCTATTTTATGATCCTTTTTTTGATTTTTTTCCCAATTTGGATACTGGAATTAGACTAATTTTTTTTCATCTTTCTAGCCATTCTCACATTCAGCTTTGTACACTACCACAATGTTTGGTTTCAGACATTGTAGGTCAGTGTTTAAAGCTGACCTTGCAAGATTCAACTTTGTGCCAGCTTCCTGTGTCTTTGGTAGAAGTTTCATCTGGTAGCTGCCCAGAGCAAGCAAAAAATCTTTCCATGTAATTTTAAATAAGGAAATCTTAATGAGAAATTTCCTTAAGAGGAAAAGTGTCCACATTTGACCTGACATTGCCCCTTTAAAACATTACGGCTCTACTTTAAAACTCAGCTGAGTTGGACTTTATTCAGGTTTTAGGCTGCCTCATTTTCAAAGGAATTAGGCTTCCTTCAGTTTCAGAATACACTTAGGAGCAACCAACCTGTTGGGTACTCAGCAACTATGAAAATCAGCTTGATAAGTTTAGCTCTCCAAATATGAATTTCAGAAATTGGCATGCATGTAATTTTCTTGAACAACCACTTAGTTACTTAGAGGGAGAGTCAGTATTACGTGTTTTCTCAGGGTAGAACTGATAATTTTTAAGAAGTTACTTAGAAATGTATAAAGTGCCCCTATAACCTGCATTGTGGTACTCGGAATTCTTGTCATAGTACAGAAAAAGTGGAGTTGCCTCATTGTAAACTATCCTTTTAACTAATCAACAGATTTCTCTAAAATTCTTTCAGACTTCAGTGAAATTATGTGAAACAATAGCCAATAAGAAAATCATGTAATTCTCCCACAGCGTTTGGCTCCATTCAGTTTAAAATAGCTACCATTTCAGAAACTACAGCAGTAGTGTATGTGTGTGGTACATGTATTGTATAATTTATGTTAAGGTGGCCAGTCCCCGTTAAAACTGAAATTGAGTAGATCAATTTGCAGGACTAACAAACGGTATACACTGGAAAAGATTTGTGGCCACTGTTTCAAAAAAAGAGAACCTTCGAACATACACTGACTTGATTTTCAAGAGTGATTAACATTTGCAGGCATTTACTACATACATGACGTTACTGAAAATCAGGGCTCTTACATTTGCATGCCAAAAATCAATAAAATTATAGGCTTCTATTTTCATTATTTTTGCCTTTGAAGTTCAGTGATATAAATGCGTAGTATAAAATAAAAGCTGGTAGAGTTAAACCCAAGCTTTCAGGAGATGCTTATTTAAATGGAAATTTTAAAACAACGCATGAAAACAGAAGGTTAACCTTATTGTGTATTGTGGTCAGAGGAAACGTATTTCTCTATTGCTCTTTTTGATGTTGAGTTACTAATAGTATATCTGCTTCTTAGATTCTAACAGGTGAAGACTGGAATGCTGTTATGTATGATGGCATAATGGCATATGGTGGCCCATCATCGTCAGGCATGATAGTCTGTATATATTTCATTATCCTCTTCATCTGTGGTAACTGTATCCTTTGCACTCACTGGAAACATCTCCAAATGGGGCTGGGTGCCAGGGACATATGCAGAATTTCTCTAGGAGGGAGTAAATGGCAGTGGACATGCTAGTGCTTTCTGCATGTGCTAAGTCCTTTAAATAGACTTTTCTTTGTACACTCGTTCCCTAATGAATGAGACTCCAGCGATCTCCAAGTCCATCTCCAGCCACCACAATGGCAGAAACCAGAGAATTTTTTCTTTCTTCCGTTAGTGAGAAAACACCTTATTCTACCTGCTTGTCTCTGTTTGACATCTCTCCCTCTGAAAATGCATGGATGTAGTCTAATCTCTATGGCAGTAATTTCCCATTCATCCTTTTGAAGCTTGTTATAGCCCTGTTAATTCTGACACACACTGACAGTGGAGTCAGTGATCCACTGTATAGTGCAGGGACCAGATGAGAGAAATCTGCGTGGAGAAATGTTGAGTCAGTTAGGATTAAGTCTCCTGAAGCATTTCCCTTCCCTGCCTTTAGTGTACTGGAAACACTTCCTTGGCCTCGTGTAGCAACAGAAACTAGTGTTATTCTCAGAAGTTCTTAAAAGATCAGGAGGTGATGAAAGGGCAAAACCATTCTATTTTCTGTACTATACAGTACTCGTATCGGTGTTTGTACTTAACTGATATGGACTGAAGTTCAGAATTTGATATAGGTTGTTGTAGACACAGAAGATAGTGCTTTATAAAAATAAATTTTTCAAAATGCCTGAACAATCTTCACTTTTAATGGACAGTGTTTCATGTTTGAAACTTGCTCAGGCTAGCATAAAGTTAAATTTCATTTATTTTAAAAATATGTCAAATATTCTGCTGTTTTAAAATTGGTGACCCTAATGGATCTCTGTTCATTTGATACCCGGTATTAATCTAGTCCATTAAATGAGTATTATTTGCACTACACTCCAGCATCACAAATCTCTACACTGTAGGTTGGGAACATGCTTTTTATGTCTCTCACATTGTCAGTGTTTATGCTGATAATAAATGAAAAAGTATAGTAAGGCATAATGTCCTTAAAATGATTTGAAATAGATATCTTGCTAAATGTCTTCTTGGCCATTGCTGTGGATAACTTGGCAGACGCTGAGAGTCTAAATACAGCTCAGAAAGAAGAAGCTGAAGAAAAGGAAAGGAAAAAGAATGCAAGGTAAAATAGTATGGGCATGTTGAATAAGCAGGAAAGGGAAGGAGGAGGGTACTGAAATCTTTCGTAAGGATTTTCTTTATTTGATATAAATGTCTTTACCATCTGCAGAATTTATTGGACTCGGGGAAAAAAATGGAAGAGTTCACCTAGACATTAAAATAAGACCCAATTAGTATGGTTTTAGATAAAATCTGGGTAGCAGTTGGGAAAATGGGGTGAATTAAAGACATAATGATAGGCCAACTGACTTTTAAACATTGCAATTGTAGGATGTATTATGCAAGTAGAACAAGAATGTATCTGTTGTTGTCAGTGCACAACTCCCTGTGGAATCAGTTCTCTAAGCCTTATATAGACATGGAGAAAATCTTCCTTTGAAATCAGTGCAGGCCTATTGAAGTAAATGCATGTTGTTTGTACGAGTCCAAGGGCACAGTTTATCCCTCTAGAAAGGAGTAATGATCATGCATTGAATTTTTTTAGGGATTAGCTTCTGGAATTATATTCAAAATGATGATCTTTTAAATGGATCATTGCATTCAAATGCAATAGATTTTGTTGCTCTGACACCTGCAGCTGTGCAAATAATTTCAAATATTCTACTATATGCTTTTAGGTATGCTCTCTTAACTTTGCATAGAATGTGTATAGTTCACTTATAATCTTCTGTGTTGACATGACATGCTTTGTAATTTTTATTGTATTGTTTTGTAGAAAAGAGAGTCTGGAAAATAAAAAAAGTGAGAAGTCAGAAGGTGACCAAAAGAAGCCCAAGGATAGTAAGGTGTTTATTCTAAAAATTTTGTATTTTCTAAGAAGCAGTTTTACTAATTTTGCTAGGGAGTACTTTTCCAGACTACTGTGCATTGTACAATTTCTTTATTAACCCATCATTCCTACATTTCTTCCAGGCAAAGGAAACTTAGTTCTGATGCTCTGCATCCTCACAGAATCTCTTAATCCAGAAAATCCTTTTGATTTCAGGATATCCTGAGAAGGGAAGCTCTTAGAGCATAAATAGTTAACATTAGGAAAAAAATGACGTTATTTTAGGATCTCCGTAGGTATTTTGCCTGATAAATCCAATGGAAGAGATTAGCGAATGATAAATTCTTAGTAGAATGTTCAAATGTTCTTGGTAATTTTTACCAAAGCCTGTTGGTTATATTCTCATTGTGATCTACACAGCCAGAAGAATATGGATACTATAGAAAAATCATATTTAAAAAATATGTATTAAACTGTCAGCTCTCCTCTGTTCTCAGAGTTACCTTGTTTCAGAAAACTCAGACTAAGCATAAGGATCACTTCCCTGACTTCAGAGGCTGATTTGGTTTGCTTTCTGTTGAACTTTATACTCCAAGCTATATTTAAATTTACTTTTCTTTTTGTGCATCCCCTTCATTGCTGTAGGTTACAATTGGTGAATATGGAGAAGGAGAGGATGAGGATAAAGATCCCTATCCACCCTGTGATGTACCAGGTATGTGAATACCAGCCAGAAGACAAACACATTTAAGTTTATTTGCTAAAATATCCTAAACTTGGTCTTGCTAAACACTGAATCAATTCCTTTGAAGTCAGTGAAGTTGTGTTCTATTATCAGTGGATAAATGAGCCTATAAGCTGCTAAGCATTATCTTTTCCTGCAGCTTCCTAGATAGTACAAACAGCATATGAGAGTTAATGCTGTAAGCCCGAAGATGGCTCTGGTGACAGCAAATTCTAAACTCTTCTGAAACATACGGTGAAAAAGGACATTCCAGGGCTACTGATGTTTGGTCAATTTTGTCTTAGCTTCTTCCAGTCCAGTGAACATACTTACCTAAAAAACAGTTCTGTCTGATTGTCTGGATGCCTGTTACAGAAATCTGCCCTACCTTTTGAGCACTCAGTGCTCAATCAGTGCACAGAGCTCAGCACCCCTACAACACAGCTCTGACGGTCAGGGTCTGAGCTTAAGTGGGGCTCCAGAGCCCCTGTGCAGGGATTGTGAGTGGAGTCCCCAAATGAGGCTAGTCAAGGCCAGTAAAGCCTGTTAGTGCACTCAGGGCACTTATGCACACACCCATATATGCACATAAAGTTGTATATAACTTGTGGGAACTATATGGATGTTCACATATTGATTCATAGATTTTTTAAGCCATGCTATGAATATTTGTTTCCTATAAACCATATATATTTTAATACCACCCATGCTTTTATATTGTTAAGAACAAAACCTCGATGTTTTTTATTTTATAGTAAAAAAGTGTTTAATTTAAAGTAGGTGAAGATGAAGAAGATGAGGAGGATGAACCAGAGGTACCAGCAGGCCCACGTCCTCGTAGAATATCAGAACTAAATATGAAGGAGAAGATAACACCGATCCCTGAAGGGAGTGCCTTCTTCATTTTCAGCAGCACTAATCCGTAAATATAATTTTGAAAAATACTGGTTTACTCCATCAAGGTTTAGCAGTGAAGGAACAGGCCTCCTTCCAGTAAGGTTAGGAATAGAACTCCAGTGTCTTCAACAGGAGACAGACTGGCTTCTCTCCTAAAATTCTCTGAATGACATGGTAAATGAAAAGAATTTGATAAACATATTAATTTGCTTCCCACTGTTGAAGAAAATAGCATTTTATACATATAATCTATCAAGCCTGCACATGTCTGAAAAGTATCCTTTAATGTATATTAGCTATTTAGTATGTTAGTCACTGAATATAGAAGCTGTGATGTAAGGTCTGAGCATCTTCTACATGAGATAGGATTCCTGGTAACCTTTGTGGAGAGTACAGGTGAAGAAGGAGAACAGAAAATGAGAGAGAGAAAAAGAGAAAAGTAGGAAAAAGGATGTATATATTCCTCTTGGGGTAACAGCATTTTCCCAGATTCAAGCAAACACTGAAGATAAAGACAAATGATTTAAAAAATCAAGAACCATAATAGTTGGATTTGGGGGAGAATTGAAATCTTTCACCACTCAGTTTAGCTCCAGAGCACTTGAAGTTCTACACTGATGAAGAAAGCAAGCTTCAGTAGTCAGTAAAAGTTGTTACTGATTGTTGGATGGAAGTGAAGAAGTGAACTAAATTCAGTTCCTACAGACTGAACATAACTGTTACATTTATATATAGCAATTTCACGAGCAGAACGGAGCTTAACAGTTATTTGGCATGGGAGAATACTGTCTTCTCAGTGGTAGACATCGTCATAGTTAAGTTTAGAAGACAGTGTGATGATCAAGATACAATGTTTTGTGCTTGTATCTTATTCATTGTATGGATTGTCTAAAGCTGTTCAGAATTTTCAAACAAACTGAAAAGAGAGCTATTTAAACTAGTAATTTTAAGAACACATATACTGAATGCAAAAAACATTAGATTTGTTGAACATGTCAGATTGCTTTTGACCTCAACTAATGCTACATATTCTCAGGCCAAAACATCTGTCTTACTTAACTAAGATACACTATACTCAAATGATCTACTTAATATAACAGGAGAACAAATTTTCCCCAAGAACCTTCTGATTCTTCAGCAGAATTTAGACAACTTCAATGTTAGTCAGTTACGAACCTGATCCTGCCTTTTTGCCAATTTAATCCCAGACCTACTCTACCAAAGTGCTCAAAAGCATTTCTGATAACCTTGGGCTCAGTGACTCGAAGCATATCTATGGTTCCAGTTCATGTTATGTGGCTGAAACTCAGCAGCTCTGTAAACTTCAACATGCACTTGTCCTGTAATTCTATAAGAAAACCTTCACAGGAGATTCTGATTTGGACCGAGGCTCTAAGTAGCACGATGAGATCTGCAGCGTAAGCCACATCTCACCAGATGAGTATTTTTGACAGCTTTAATAAGAATCAAATTAAACTGGGGATCTGAAATTACTTACTATCTAGCATTGATCCTTTTGACATTGACCTCTGTATGTGCACAGTGGTACAAACACTGGAACTTGTAGTGGCATTCATAACCCATTCAAAACCAACAGAAACTCGGAAATCCTCTCTCAGATTCCTTCCATAAATGCATCTTCACTACAGGTGGATTGGATTTTGAATTATTTACATTTTTAGAAATCAGGGCAATAGCTTCAGCATTTGCGCTGCTTTTAGCTGCTGATGGTTGCTCTGTTCTGTCACTGTTCGCAGAGTAATAGAAAATGTTGTATATTAGCCATCTGCTGAATTACATTTGCACACATGGTATATTTTTGTATCTCTTCTTCAGAATTCGAGTGGGATGCCACAGACTCATCAATCACCACATCTTTACCAATCTTATCCTTGTCTTCATCATGCTGAGCAGTGTTTCCCTAGCAGCAGAAGATCCAATTCGCAGCCACTCTTTTCGAAATAATGTAAGCCCTTCATTTTTATGTCTGAAGACAAATATATCCTCATAGGATAACAGTCCTTTGGGACTAGTGCCTGGCTTTTAATTTTCAAGTTAAGAAACTTTCCTTTTCCTTTTTCAAGTTATACATTTATATTTTTTTTTTGCTTTAAAAACCACATATCTTTAAGGGCAAGTAACTTTATTGATGGAACATTACAGTGTTAGAACCATTTATTATGTACATATTGTTTTCCTTCATTGGATATAAAAATATCAGAATAAAATATGCTCAAGCTGAACATAATCTTTATAATTTTCATATTTTTTCATGATTTTCAGCTGGTGTACCTGACATGCATTTCCTGAATCACTCTTAGTGCCTCTCAGCGTTTGACACTGGTTTAAAAATGCCAGTTAAAATTGCCACTGTTTATAACATGTTGGGAATAGACTCTGACCTGCTCTCTCTTCTCCTTCATTGACGCTATTATATGGTCTTGGGGAACTCAGAGTATCACTCTGAGTGTATGGATTCGTAAGGATATTACCTCGGCTTTCAAAGAAGCTAGTGTGGCCACAGTAATGAGTTTGAGTACTACCACACAGGACCTGAAGATCCTTGGATTCCTGATTGGCCATATCAGAAACTAAACAAGTTTCCCTTTTTTCTAAACTTACATGTAAGATGAGGATCAGAGCATGCCCAGTTCTTGCTTTGATTCAGAGTCAAATGCCATTTCTGCCTATATACAAACCTGAAAATTTGGAAGTGTTTTTGCATCCTTTTTTAGATATACTTGTATAAACAAAATATTTGTAAGAATATTAACTTCAGAAATGTCTCTATTATTCAGTAAGTGTAGTTTATGTGGTGAGTAAACATCTGTGTCCTCTGAAAACAAATTCCTGTTTTAAGTTTTTAATGTAGTAAATGACTTGCCTATTACTGAAATGCACAATTATTAGACAGAGAAACAAAAATAAATCCACTCTCGTGACCACTAATGTTTGTCTTGTGCTTGTTGCACTTGTGTTAGTGGTGAAGCAAGCCTCTCATGTTATTGTGAGTGGTGCATGTTTAGATTATGTATGAAATAGCTAAGATAGTGCATCTTGCTAATAGTCTGTGGGGACTTCTGGGATACTTTGACAGGCCTCTCCTGTCTTAGATATAAACTGATCTGTAGAGATTACCATGGAGTTAGAGAAACTCTTCCACCTCTTACAGGAAAGATGGGCTTACTAGGTCAGCAGAGGTTGTATCCCTCTAGTTCTTGCTAGTGTAGATGCAGCCTCTGAAAGTCCTCTTTTGGCTGTTGACAGTCTCTGAACTTTTTTTTGCAGTAACATTAGTAAAACCAAAAGGCGAAAACTTTCTTCAAAGGTAAAAAGAGGTTAAAGCACAAAGACACTCTTCATGTACTATTTGGTAGAGCTGTGTGTTTCCCATATCTACGAAACTGGACAAGTGCAGTCTTAGGAATAATCACAGAAATAGATAAGAAAAAGAGAGCTGGTGGGGAATCCTGAAATTGTTATTGTAGAAATGGCTTGAAGGGCTGATAATTGGTTTTGTAACTAGAGGAGTACTAGGAAAATGTAACTGGATAGTGGTGGTAACTGAAAGCATTATTCCTATTTGGGACACAGACAGGTAAAATGTGTGTTGCCCTTTCGTCGTAAATGTTTACAAATGCACCAGACCTGCATATTTTTCTTTTTACTATCTTAAATGATCATATTCCTTCAGCCAGCCAGCTTAGCAAGGGAATGAAAGTTTACAAACTGGAATGCCTTTAAATATTTTCTTCTAACTCTAGAATTAATTCCTTACTGATTAATCTGTGTTGAATGGCTTTAATATTTGCCTATTTTTTCAACCACAACGAGGGACAGAGGATGTAATCTTCAACTGAACATAGGGAAAAAAAAATACTTCCTTTTATGTGATCTAATAGGAATACTTTCTTTTTGTGTTGTCTCTTTATTTTATTTCTCCTTTCCATTTTATTAGTTGCTGAACTGCAGGCAATATGTTTCTGTGCACAACTGTTTGCTAGTTGGATTGACGGATCCTTGAAACTAAACTAGTACCCTACTGCAATGCATGTCAATTGCTAAATTAGGTGCTAGCGATAAGACCACCTTGACAGGGTGAGATCTTGGTTGTACTGAAATACATGGCAGTATTCCTGTCAACAGTAGTGAGGTCAATATCACATCCACAGTCTTTTTAAAAGTTTGCATATCACTGTGCAACTGTTGTGGGTTCTTTTAAATTTCCTACTGCTATGTCTTCCAAGTTCAAGAAAAAAGAGTTGTAGTGCTGATTTTAAGTAATTTAGTTATTTGTTAATTTGCGTTGTGACACTGTAGCCCAGTCTGTACAGGAACAATATAATGTAGCAGAATGTAGAATGATGTGCAAGCTAGAAGCATCCATTGAAGTTCTATTTTTTGATGCAATACTTTGGTAGGAAAACAAAAAAGTACTTAATAAGAATTTATTCCTTCTATAAGATTCTATATCTCTGCTAAAGGCTGAAGAAAGTACCTGTGAAAGCTGATAGAGGAAAATCTGAATTGAAAGAAAGTGTTGCTTATTGGGTCCTGTTAACTCTTTAGGGGTGAAATCTAATGTCTAAGCACAGTGACATCTGATAAATTTTTGAGTAAGTAAAAATGGTTGCACAATGGCTGGAATTTTAAACTCCTTTGTCTAAATTTCCCATCTACTTATTTAGATGAATTCAGTTGTTGTTGTGCATGTGGTCTAAATTGTAAAAAATTATTAATAGATGGATTTCTTACTGTGGCACATATTATACCTTGCAGATACTTGGTTACTTTGACTATGCTTTCACAGCCATCTTTACTGTTGAAATCCTGTTAAAGGTAATGCATTGTTAATTGATCCTTGTTAGCTCAAAAGCAGCTTTAGCAATAATGTTTGTAACTTTTTGTTTACCTTCCAGATCCTAGGGTATGCAGATTATGTCTTCACTAGTATGTTTACATTTGAGATCATTTTGAAGGTAACAGGTTTTTAAAGGAAGTTTGTTTAAAAGGATTTTCCTTGTGTGTAACCTGCCAAGAAAAGGCACTGGAAGTGTTCTTCGCCTTTTCTCTACGCGATCAAAGCTAAACTTTTTTAAACCAGAGGATTTTTTTATTTGACAGTTCCTCATAGTTTTGATTGGTTATTTTTTACCATTGGGTGCATGAAGAAGCTGATTTTTTATCATTACATCAATTCAATAATTCATTTTTTACCCTTTTTAAACACAGTTGTCAGAAAAGGGAAAAATAATTCACTGCGCATGAGCTTTTCCTTCTCCTTGCTCTGACATTTCCAAAAAAGATAATCGGTGTTTTAAGGAGGGAGCATGTAATTTCTCATTTCTTTTGCTGAACTATATTCACAGAGCTAAAATAGTAGATAACTATTTTCTTGCAATAGGACTTGCAAGATATCTTGCATTTGTCTATCTATATACTAAGATACTTTGCATATCTTGGGCATACATTTAAATACACAGAAAGGCATAAATATGCTTGCTTAAATGTATTACCCATGCATGAGTCAAAAATTGGCATTTTAATGTATAGTTTGTGTACTGATTATTAAGAATATCCATTGGGGTTACTCGGATTTTAGATGTATGAGGCTTACTCTGGCAAAGAAGCCATACAACTGAGAATTAGGTTCACATGTAAGAAAATGCTGAACAAAGAAATCAAAATTTTTGGTGGGCATTTGTGAAATATTTTTTCAGAGGTTTACACATGATTCCTATAAGTTTCATGCTTTGCATATTCGCCACGAGTTTTTGGTTGAGTAACCCTGATCTATACACTTAAAAATTTCTGATACACTAAGAATCTGTACATAAACTTTGCATTTCCAGTTGAGGATTAAGCTTAACAAAATCTCTTCTCCCAGCTTTTGCTCATATTGCTGTGCATTCTCTTCACAATGCAATTTGATTAATACTAATTGATGCAATATTTGGGCTGTTTACAAGATAAGCTGTACTGTAAGTAGTAGACTATTTTTATGCTTGCAGATATTCTCCCAGACTTACATATATCCCCTTATTTCTCATTTTCAGTGGTGAGGAGCTTGCTATAGAACTGATTAATCTTATAACATTTGTAGCATTGTAAAACAAACACCCAGTTTTTTTGCTGCAAGGCAAAGGCCAAACTAAAGGAAAGAATGAAGCACTGAAAAGAACTGTAGCATCAGATAAAACTAGTTCCCAACTCTGAATTTGAGAAGCCATACAAAATAAGTTGCCACCTTTTCTGTGGTAGAAGAGAGTCGGTAAAATTCCACATGCTCTGAGGTGCAGGTTGATAGCTCCTGCAGTTCCAACTGTGTTTCTCTAGGAGACAGAGGAATTATAAAGCATGGCATAAAGAGGCATAACTGGATGTTTCTAGAAAAACAACATTCCTACTGACTCCCAAAAGATTCTGACACTGAGTGACTCAAGAGTTATCCAAGGGAAGTAGGAAGCTCTAGAGCTTGGGCTGCTGAAATCTGGCATTGTAAAATATTTCAAAGACACAAGAAGCCCTGTCATAGCCAAAAATGTTGGTGCTTCTGACTCCACTTTCTCCAGAAGTTCTACCCTGCATTGCACTCACAAGTATTTATAAAGGAAAATAAATTGTACTATACAAAATGTAAGGGACAACCAGAACATGACACATGTACATATACAGTGCCTGCTTTACTAACATGTCTCAGACACTGGCTTTGCTTGCTTATGGCTGGAGTCCTTCATATCTTCTGTGCTGGGTTTTGTGCTGTGCACTCCACCGTATCCAAGTCATATAGAAGCTGTGTATATTCAAGACTAGACCTGCAGGAACAATAGCATTTCTTAATTTCCAGGCAAAAAGTGTATGAAACTGAAATTAAGATAACCAGAGGCAATATTATTGGCTGCAGCGAAGAAACTTGTAAATGTCAAAACCCAAGCATTAAAACAGAGTAACTCTTAAGCACGTGGAGAGTCTTCCTGTGCTCTATCTTATTGACTGCTCTGCAGACATGAGGATTTCCATATTCTATGGTATTGAGTATATGAATGAGGATATGAATAACAGAAAAGCTGCAACATCGGTTTAAAGCATGTAAGAGTTCTTTTATGTAATCCCTACATGGCATTGAAAACCAGTTTACCATCCTGTTTGCAGTACTTGGGAAATGTGAAAACATCAGATCAAAGGGCAGGTTAGGGCCTGGTGCTTTTAACCTTGCCCCAGCTGTACTAATCCTGCACTGTTTAAACCGGACCCCACTGGTGTGTAATTACAGGCAGGAGGAAAGGACTGGCACTGATGGTGCCCCAGGTGCTCAGCTCAGTGAGTGTCCTGCAGCGTCTGCTCCGCTGAAGGCCGTGTGACAGCGCTCACCACCTCAAATCCACTCTAGGCTTTGCTTCGGTCTTGATCTGTGCAAAGGATAGAATGATTTGCTATAGAGAGTTTTAGTCAAATGCTTCCGCTGGGATCTGTAGTGATTGAAATTTGAGCCTCCATAGAAAGATGGGGAGAGAGGTACTTCACCTGTATTTTTAGGTCAATATATCTTTACTTTTGTGGGAGTCTTTACATGAAACTTTGTGTGCTGCTAACTGATAACATACTACGGTGTGAATGAGTATTTCTAGATAGATGTAAGTTTGATATTCAGGGTTATTTTACTGTTCAACTCTCACTGATTTTAATAAGTTTAGACATACTCTGTAGAACTGTAAATGAAAAGAATTTATTGGAAATTTTATAATATAACTATATTATATCTCTGATGTCATGGCATAGGTTAAAGCTTTAGGATTTTTATTCTTCTAGTTTTGAGGAACATGTAGTATTTTGATCATGACAAAAGACAGTTTAACATGAGAATGAGAAGGGCTTCCAAGAAAAATGCATCTTTTGTAGTTTACATTCCTTTGTAGATATGTAGCTTTCACTGTCACTGATGGTTTTCCATGCAAAAGACCTGCGAGTTTGTGCACACAAGTAGTGACACAGTAGACTGAGATGCCGATTGTCGGTAGCTCTGTTCTACATTGTGGGACAGTCTTGAAAGATGTAATGGTCTGCTGCAAGAGAAAAGGAAATAAAATCTTTTTGCTCCATCTTGAGGAACAGAACAGAATAGAAAGTTATGGGTTTTAAATGGACAGTCAATATCAGATGTTCTGTGGCTGGCATTGAGTTTTCTTACATGTGGAAAACAATGAGTGAGAATACTCAGGTCTTTTTAAGAGGACCTTAAGACTGAAGAAATTAGAATTAGTTGCTGGCTGGGGCTAAAGTGACGTGCCTGAACTGACTACTAGGTATTTTTCAAAGGTATCCTTGTTTTAATCTCAAGTTTTCAGTTTCAGTATTTCAGTCTTCATCTGTAACTATGGAAAAACCCATGCAAAATTCTACTCAAGTGCAGATTCTATGCTTTGAATGGCTTCACTGGATTCCCCTGTGTATTTTTTAACTGGTACTTACTCACAGTTATGGTAAGGGTCTAATTCATAGATTTAGGAGTCAAATTCAGCTTTGCGATACCTGAGAATATCTGCCCAGATTCTGTCTGCAGCCATAATTAATAGAGCCTCTGTCACTGGCTCTTAGTGAAACCTGCAAATGATGCATGCAGGTTGCTTCACAAGAGATCCTTTGTGTGCTTCTTTCATCTTAATCTAGGCACAGAAAGCAAAAAATGGAGAGAAAGTCCAACAGGGAGAGCAATGTTTGACATTCCCCACAGACCAGCAAAACTTGGGGACCCTTGTCCACACATAATACAAAACAATCTATGGGTTGTTCCAGGTTATTCCAAGATACCCACTCATAACCTTAACATGTCTCCTGCAAGCCAAAGGCAAATAGCAGTGTAATGCTGCTTTATGGCAGCCTTGTGCTGGTTCTATACCAGATTTGACTCAGTATTTTGCAATGCATTTTCAGCTTCTTCAATTCTCAAGACAGTATGAATGATTAGAAGTCAGAATCTGGACCTTACAGTTGAGTAGGCATTGAAATTTTATGGTTCCTGTAGTCATTTTTCTAACAAAGGCCAAATCAATTCAGTGTAATCACCTCAGCCTAATCAGTTCTTACAGAAAATATAACATTTGTTAACATCAGAAACAATTAACACGTTTGCTGCTGTTGCTTGTGCAGAATTTTTATGACTTAAATGAAAGATTTAATGTACATAGCAGGATTGTTCTATATCTCAGTTGCTTTTAGAAAGTGAGATAATACTGTATGCATTCACACTCTAGGCAAGTGTCTTGTAAACAGCCTAAATGTGAACTTGAATTAATTGAAATAGAGACTAAACGTGTAACAATTCTATTTTTAGATGACAGCTTTTGGAGCATTCCTTCATAAAGGGTCCTTCTGCAGGAATTATTTTAATTTGCTGGATTTGCTGGTTGTGGGTGTTTCTCTGGTATCATTTGGTATTCAGTAAGTACTGTGAATGATTTATTTTTACTTTGGGGTTTTATACTGAAATCAGTGTTTCAGCTCCTTTTGTTTCCCCGTTGTGTGTGGGTGTGCAGTATCAGTATTCAGGGTTAGGACTGGCAAGAGGTAGCGCTTTATATGGAGAGTGTTGTAACTCATTACTAATACGGGTTGGAAACTACTGCTTCCCACTATTACCAAGAGAACAAGGAAGAGCACCATGACACTATTGTATAACAAGTAGTTCCTGGAGCTTCAGGAGGTTGATATACCCTCTTTTGTGCTATTGCCACATCTACAATCTAGTTCTATGAGCTTGCTTTTTCAGCATTGACTTACTGGGATATGTAACTTGACAGTATTTGAAGGGGAGAGAAGTTGTACATTAATCAGGACTGTAAGTGGTAGTGAAGAGATTTTTTTGCTTTGTTTGGATCAGGCTAAACATAATAAAAGAGTCTGAACGTGCTTATTTATTCACTGAGCAGTTGTGCCTCATTTAAAATCATCTGTGAAACCCTTAGTGATTTAGAAAAGAGCAAGGGCTGGGTGTCAATCAACTGCTTCCCACTTTGTATTCTACTTCTACTAGAATACGTATTACACAAGCCTTCAGTTTCACAAGATGTTCTTTAAAAGGCTGTCTGCTATTATTTCTTCAAAACGCAGTCCTAGCTACTTAAAGAGAATGTGAGTCATTTGAGATCTTTTCATCTCCAGGTGTTTGGAAATCAAAGTATTAATTGATTTACAGGACTTAAACAGTGTCTTCAAAAGAGATTGTCAACACTGAAAAATACTTTGGGGGCTATTTTGCTCCTGACCAAACTTAACTGCATTACAGTGTCAGACAAGCTTCTGAGCTGTTTATTCCCAAGTTGCTTCAGAAATCAAAAGAATTCTTACAGTATTTATGAGATTGATACTATTTTATAATATTAATAAAGGATCAATAAAGAAATACTTTAAAAAATCTTGTGTATATATCTTGAGACTTTTTTGAAATTTCATGTATAAGGAAGTTGCGAGAACGTTGTTATTCTTAGTAATAAAATCAGTTACCTTAACAGTAATAGAATAACTTTTTTTTCCCCCTAGATCAAGTGCTATCTCAGTTGTGAAGATCCTCAGAGTTTTAAGAGTCTTGAGGCCTCTAAGGGCAATAAACAGAGCAAAAGGACTTAAGGTGTTTATTTTTATTTTTTAAATTATATTTCTGTTGGCCTGATTCTTCAGTCCTGTATCAGGTTAAAAATTGTTGCACAAGAAAAATTGCCCAGAGAAGTTGACATGGCAAGGACATAAATTATTTCCTGATTCTTAAACATACTAGACCAAGTTCTGCCCACAGTTACAGCAGTATATATGTGGAGGAACACCAATGCTGCAGAGAGCAGATTTTGACCGTAATATTTGCTGTGAACCAACATGTCAGAGCAATATTTTAATTGTTTTTCCATAGTGCTTACGTAATTTTTAGGTAGTAGATGTTGATGGGTCTGTCCACAGACTTAAGGACAAATTTAAAAAACAAGTGTAATTATGGTAGTGGGTAAAATACTGACAACACGAAACCACTAATCTAAAAAAAATAATCTGACTGTGATAAAATAAACTTTTATGGTGTGTATTCTGTGATACTAAGTAACGAGTTGTATTAAAATATATTTTTTTTTCCTTCTTTCTAGCATGTTGTTCAATGTGTCTTTGTGGCTATTAGAACTATTGGTAATATCATGATTGTTACAACTCTGCTGCAGTTCATGTTTGCTTGTATTGGAGTGCAGCTGTTCAAGGTGAGTAGAGACTCTCAAAATTGACACTGCATCAAGAAAAGCAAAGCTGAGTTGAATTCTTGGTGTGTTGCTGCTGGAACTGGGTTGGTCCCATTCTGAACCAATCATAGCATAAATGTGTTTATTTTACATATTCTGCATTTTGTCATTGCTTTTTGTTTTATGTG